AGCACTCACACAATCCTAGTCATCTTAACTCCTTACATCTCAGCACTCACACAATCCTAGTCATCTTAACTCCTTACATCTCAGCACTCACACCAATCCTAGTCATCTTAACTCCTTACATCTCAGCACTCACACAATCCTAGTCATCTTAACTCCTTACATCTCAGCACTCACACAATCCTAGTCATCTTAACTCCTTGCATTTCAGCACTCACAGAATCCTAGTCATCTTAACTCCTTGCATCTCAGCACTTACACAATCCTAGTCATCTTAACTCCTTACATCTCAGCACTCACACAATCCTAGTCATCTTAACTCCTTACATCTCAGCACTCACACAATCCTAGTCATCTTAACTCCTTTTATCTCAGCACTCACACAATCTTAGTCATCTTAACTCCTTACATCTCAGCACTCACACAATCCTAGTCATCTTAACTCCTTACATCTCAGCACTCACACAATCCTAGTCATCTTAACTCCTTACATCTCAGCACTCACACAATCCTAGTCATCTTAACTCCTTACATCTCAGCACTCACACAATCCTAGTCATCTTAACTCCTTACATCTCAGCACTCACACAATCCTAGTCATCTTAACTAGTTACATCTCAGCACTCACACAATCCTAGTCATCTTAACTCCTTACATCTCAGCACTCACACAATCCTAGTCATCTTAACTCCTTACATCTCAGCACTCACACAATCCTAGTCATCTTAACTCCTTACATCTCAGCACTAAAAAAGTGCACAGACTAAAGATAACTTGAATGGATCTGTATTGTCAGTGTTTTATTATGTGATATGTGTGTGAAAGTGAGACATACAAAGATTGCCTCCAGCCACCTTGTTGGAAGATCCTCCTCCCTCCTCTGCTTGTTTTGCTTCTATAGGAAACATTAATAGAACTATTTGTAAATTACTAAGTGTAAATGAAGGTATTAATTACCGCAACCCATATTCTTTTTGCAGTGTAAATACAAGAGCATGTAAATGGAGACATGTTATTTAGATAACCTTACAATAATGGCGAGTGAGACTCCGAAAAATATTTTGTTTCTTAAAAAAAGCTTATCCTAGTTTCGGATAGTTGGGTTGCATAATTGTGACTTTTTTTTTTGCACGTTACTCATGTATTTTTTATTGAAATAAATGTGTGTCTATCTGGAAAACTAATCTGGATTTTTTTTATATATTCATAGTTGTATAAAATGTTCTAAATTTATTAGCCATTTTCAGGTGTTCAATGTTGGTTGTTCTGGCAATAACCACATCTCAGTTGCCTCCAAATTTGTCTTGAATGGTTTTTTCACCACTTACAAATGGTAGTAGTGCAAGTCATCCCTTGGCTTTTGCCGGGAGCCCTGAATATAGCCGGGCGTTAAATATGGCCCAGCCTAACAACTGAAAGGGGTTTCTGGGACCTCTCTATGGGTGATCCTCATCAGCATGGTGGCACTTTGTGTCACTGAGTGTTTATTGCTATGTGATGTCCTCAAGTGGTACAACTATCTACCTACCAACTTACAAATGGTAAATTTCCACCCCCCCAAAAAATGTAACATTAAACTGAATGGAAAAAGTCTGATGCAAGTTGATATGTTAAAGTATTTTGTTCCATGGTAAAGTGATGCAAGGGTCAGTCTCTATTCAGTGTAAAGATCTGTGTAAGCAGGACGTGACTAATACTGGTATTGAGGTTGGATTTACTGAACTGAAACAAGATGCATTGCCTAGAGAGGGACATTAGAAAGAGAACAGAGACAAATAAGAAAAGGATTACAGATAGGTTTAGTACTGGGCATCTGAAAATAAACACATCAACAAATAGTTTCTCCATGTAGGTTCTAAAGCCCCACTTGGGAGGGTGTTGTGCTAGAAGGAGCAGATATCACAGCCTAGCTGTAAACCATAACTCAATGTCCCAACCGCCCTTTTAAGCTTGAATGCTGAAAAAGAAGAATGATGGCTTACAAATATCCTAGTGGTTCAGTAATAAATTACTATTTAAAAAAAAAAAACATAGCAAAGGAAATACAGCCAATTCTAGAGATGCGAAAGCATTTATTTGGAATATTGTTTTACAAAAATAAAATATAAATCAACATATCTTCAAATATAAATATAACATTCTCTGTTTAAAGCCAATTGTCATGAATTATAGAATACTCCACTATCCTTGAATGACCAGCAACCAACTGTTGGAGCGTATGGAACTGTTTGTTTGTCCCCACGGTGACCAGGGATCACATTCCTAAAATAAAGAGAATATTTAAACACTTTTTTTTGGGATTAGGTTGAACTCACTCCTGAAAATTCAGAGGCAAGCAACACTTCCATAAGAGTGGTGTGGTATTATCTTCCCCTCCTCCTCCTCCTCCTTCTTCTTCTTCTTATTTTTTCTCCTCTATCATCATCATCTTATCCTACTACCCCTCCCCCTTCAGCCTTCTCCGACTCCTTTTCACTCCTCCACCCTCCTCCTCCTGCGCTTTATTCCAACTGGTGCCTAGGCCTCCAACCAACCCACCTCATCTCTACTATCTTTAGCCACCACTTGAAGTTCCTCAGTGTCCGCCCTATATTGCAGTAAAACCCGGTTAACATAAACTCGCTTTAGACGAACATTCAGTTAACATGACCAGAGTTTTGGTCCAGTGAAATGTACATGACTGACTGACTTTCTACCCCACCAGGACATCACACAAGCGATAAACAACCGATGAAAGTCCCAGAAACCGCATTCAGACAATTGGCCATATTTATGGCCTGCCTATATTGCGGCCCCTTTCAAAAGCCAGGGTGGGGCTTCAAATAACAAAAAATGTCATCCTAAAAAGGACGAAACTGGATTAATAAAATGATAAAAATGAACATTTATTATCTACATGGATTTGTACCCCTCGTCAGCATGCATATTTTAAACACAAACTTCTTATTATTTGTACCTATGGAATTCCTGCTGAAGATAAAGGTAAAAGACGTGTAAGGTGGTGGGGAGGTCGTGGCTGCAGGTCCCCAATGTTGTTTACTCACTTTACGGGGGGGGGGGGGGGGGGGGGGTCTCAGCTACATCCAGCGCTTGCCTAGATCAGCTGTTCTCAACCTGTGGGTTGCGACTCTTTTGTGGGTCAAACGACCCTTTCACAGGGGTCGCCAAAGACCATTGGAAAACACATATTCTTTGAAGTTATGAAGTAGCAACCAAAATAATTGTGTGGTTGGGAAGTCGCCACAACACGAGCAACTGTATTAAAGGGTTGCCATAGATATGGCCTAACGACTGAAAGGGGTTTCTGGGACCTCTCCATGGGTGATCCTCATCGGCATGGTGGCACTTTGTGTCACTGAGTTTTTATTGCTATGTGATGTCCTGGTGTGGTACAACTATCTACCTACCAACTTACAAATGGTAAATTTCCACCCCCCAAAAATGTCCCCAAAAATGTAACATGAAACTGAATAAGGAAGTCTGATGCAAGTTGATATGTTAAAGTATTTTGTTCCATGTTAAAGAGATGCAGGGGTCAGTCTCTATTCAGTGTAAAGATCTGTGTAAGCAGGACGTGACTAATACTGGTATTGAGGTTGGATTTACTGAACTGAAACAAGATGCATTGCCTAGAGAGGGACATTATAAAGAGAACAGAGACAAATAAGAAAAGGTTTACAGATAGGTTTAGTACTGGGCATCTGAAAATAAACACATCAACAAATAGTTTCTCCATGTAGGTTCTAAAGCCCCACTTGGGAGGGTGTTGTGCTAGAAGGAGCAGATATCACAGCCATAGGAAGGTAGAGAACCACTACCCTAATTGTTAAGAGGGCCTGTTTGGGGGTAGGACCGAATGCCTCCCTCCCCCTTTCTAAAGATTTCTTTGTTGTGGGTGGGGACACTCAAAGCCCTCCTCGTTTTTTACCTCCTTGCTTTGCAAAAAAAAAAATTGTCACTTTCAACTAGCATCCCCAAAGGGGGAGCTTTTGGTTATAACTGTGACTAGGTTTCTGTGTGCCATAAAAAATTGCTTAGAATTGCTCGCCACCAAGTAGCCATGAAAAGGACCCTTGCAGTGTTGATGCAATCAAGAGAGACCCAGATACTGCCCCGACCAACGACAAAGTCTAAAGTCAGAAAATGGGCGATGCGGGCGCCGATGTGATGTATGGCTGGTTCTGCTCCCAATCTCTAACTATATATATGGCACAACTCACGTTTCTAGGCCCGGCTCCGACACATTTATGATTGACGGAGATGGACCGGGACACTGTGATTGGACGTTCAGTCTCCGCCTTCTTCTTCTTCTTCTTCGTTCACTGGCTGTGAATTCTGGCGGAAGGTCCCGTTTGATCGTCCGCTTGGACTTTTGGCTTTTACCTGGACCTGAGTTTTGCGCGTACAACCATTTTGCTGTTCCCTCTCTCATGGGCAGCTGTACTCCGACTTCGAGGGAAGACGTCAGGCCTATTTCTAGGAAGTTTCCGCCTTAACCTTTGAGACGGGGTGTCAGGGCGTCCTCTCTGTACTCCCCCCCCCCAAGAAGCTTAGTGCGTTGTCTTCTATTTATGTGTTTATTCTGAGAAAGAGAATGCATGGGACGTAGGCTGCACCAATCTCGTAGAGGGGTTTGTGTTAGGGCCAGTTCTGCGTGTTTTAGGACCGTTAAAAGCCCTGTAATCCCGGAATATACAGCATGCGATATCACCGGCCGGGACACCCCTGTCACCTTCAGCAAAGTTGACGAGCCTCACGGAGTAAGAATGAAAGGTGACGCAGTGTGTAAATTGATGGAGCCGGGCCTGGAAATGTGAGTTGTAACATAAATTTGTAAGGTGGGGGTGGTGGGTTGTGTTGTAGTGTAAAACCGGTGACTCCACCCCAATGTTTTCTTCCTGGCGGCGTGCCTCAATCTCAGAGTGTCAAATCTTCCGGACAAAGAAACAAGAAATGAAAGGCGAGAATAACGATAAACAAACAGCGTTAAACATAAAGGCTACCTTTGTTTATATTTCTCCGTTTTGGCGCTCGAACTTTCTGATACCATAATTTCTCCTTCTCCAGTAACTCAAGCTGCTGATTATGTCTGGCTTGCCGCGTTGCATCTGTAACTTCCCCATCGCCAGCAACAGTCCCATCGTCTTTCACGGTGTTTTTAATGTTGATGTTAATTGTGTGCACTTCGTGGCAGTGCGCCAGAGTTTTGCCTTCGACAAGTAAACTCTCAAAAGCACTCCATTGATAGTTCCTGTGTGTGACGTAGATTCGGAATCCGTTCTGGTATACTTTTCTGAACAGAGCCAGGAACTGAAAAGTAAGTAAGGTAAAGTAAAGAACTCTTTTCTATGATTTCAGGCTTGTTGGGCATATAGGGCTAGACTTTTACTTTAGGCCTATAGACCAATCAGTAATTGGCGGGTAATGAGGTCGGCATCACACCGGTGGCCTTTACTTCCCATGACGTTTACCTGGTACCTATTTAAGGTTAGGCCGGCCTGGGAGCCGAAGTCATGGCATTTTTCTGGCATATATGTTTGGTGAGTTGGCTTTTTATACACAGTGGCCAGGTTTCTTCGAATTTGCAAATCAAACTAAATTAAGGCATTCGACGTCACTGCACATTGGGCATTCCCAAGTGTGCTCAGTCTTCGCGCAGCAGCCACTCAAAGGTACATCTGTTTATGAAAATGGACAGTGATTAGCACATACACGAATGAAATAAAATGCTTATTTAAATAATTATTAGTTGGCTAGAGTACCATTTACAAAGACAAAGAAAAACACAGACATGCTACATGATTTGAACATCGAGGAGAACTGGCTAATAAACGGTACCCTGTCCTGAAAGCTGAGGTATTTTGGCCACGTTTAATGCCATAGTGGCCTGGAGAGAACTTTGATAGAAGGTACTGTTTCTGGAAAACGAGGTAGAGGTAGACCTCCGCGAAAGTGGATACAAGACATTGACGATGTATTGGCTAGAAAAGCACATAGGGCTGAAGAATAAGCTAGAGAAAAAGACTTTTAGACAAATCGTGATGAGAGCGACGTTCTGTAATAGATCTGCTGGTTGATGATGAACACTCCAACCGGGCGCCACGGTAGGGTAGTGGTTAGAGGCTCGCCTGTCAGCTCGAGGGTCTAGAGTTCTAGATGCATGCAAATGGACACCCCCAAGGTTACAGTTAAAAGGTTACAAATGATAGGATCGACTTCAGTGCACCAGGTTTTATCCTACATGGTCCAGTCTCTCTTCCGCACGAACTCCATAGCTCAAGTGACGACTCCCCAGGCATCGTGGTAAAAACTGCACTCATGAACGTAACAACGCAGCCGTATGAAACGAACCCACGACCCTTTGGTAAGCGAGGCAAACGGCTTCAACACTTTGCAATTTTTTTTTGCTTACAAAAAATAAATTTACTTCCACAAGTACTTTTGTTTAAAACCAGCATTGTGGTTACCAGTGCCAAATGTAAGATAAAAAAAAAAGGAAAAATCGAAACAAGAGAAACGAAATATCCACGACGAATCCTAAAACGCAAATAGAAAAGATATGATCGGCAATGACGATATGAATAAAGAAGCGGGGATGGAACTAATATTAAACGACATCAAGATACAACAGATCAAATGGTTTGGTCATGTGTCAAGTAAAGTCATGGGAAGTAAAGGTGGTTTGTGTGATATTGGTCACATCACCCACCGAGTGCCAGTTAGTCCATTCAATACAAGTCTAGCACTACATTCACAATTCGCCCGAAGACGAGGAAAGGGGTTCTTAACTTTACTGTACTTTACTTTACTTTACTTTACTTTACTTTACTTTACTTTACTTTACTTTACGTTACTTTACTTTACACTACATATTTAAAAGGCTTATATATTTTACAGTTGTCTGGTGTAATTTAAAACTGTAAGGGTGGCCAGAAGCCGTCCCAATCAATATGGGACGTAATTTTTCGTTATTTAAAAGCCCCACCTCAAACGTATTTGGGAGCCCTAACATAACTCAACCTATTAGTTGAACAGGGTTTCTGTGACTTTTGCCTGGGTGATCCTCATCCGAATAGTTGCACTTTGTGTCACCGGGTGTTGGTCGCTTGTTGGACGGTCCTGTTGTGGGGCTAGACAACAACGGTAAGGGTCTGAGGACCTCATACAGCCAAGGTCTGAGGGCCTCATCCAGCCAAGGACCTTAGTAAAGTAAAGGTCTTTTTTCCACGCCTATAGGCATTTAGGGCATGTAGGGCATGTAGGGCTAGACCTATATTTTATGGATCAAACGGCACAAGATGGGTGATGTGGTCAGCATTATGCCGGCCGCCATTACTTCCCGGGACGGCAGCCGGTACCCACTCAAGGCTGGGTCGACCTGGGAGCCAAGGTCATTTTTGAAAAAAGTCTGGCTTCGCCAGGGAGCGAACCCACGACTTCTCCGATCCGCGGCGAGCGTCTAGCCACTCCGCCACGGCGACTCCCCAGCTTAAGGACCTTATCAAATCTAAATCCGGCTCTGAACGGAGTAATGGAACATCAACAGCCTGGTTAGGTCATGCTCCTAAATGCCCAGCCTGGTTGCCCGACTACTGGAAGGATATTACGTCGGTAATCCAGACTGAACGGGTAAACCGCCCGGCAAATTTTTTAAGATGGCATTGCCTTTTGGTTTTCACCCGTGACTTGGTTGTGACCGATCCTGGTCATCTTGGCTAGACCCAGCGCAGCAGACTACACTTTGATCTTAGCCAAAAGGCCGAGACGCGATCGATTGCCAGGAAATCAAAACAAAAACTAAATACAACTATAACAAAGAGGAAGTCAGTGTAAGTAAGTAAGTGAGTTGTACCCCATCATGACGTCACAAAGAGCGACAAACACCCGGTGACACAAAGTGCCACTATGCGGATGAGGATTACCCGTAGAGAGGTCCTGGAAACCCGTTTAACCATTAAGTTATATTAGGGCCCCTGACAACAGTCAGGATGGGGCTTCAAAATAACCAAAACTTGCATCCCACAGGGAATACTGCAGCCACACCAGTTCTCATTACCTTCAGATACTCTTCTTTTGTAGGATCGCTCTTTGACCAACTAACGTGGGTCTCAAAGGCCAGCTGTCGGACATCGGCCAAACTGCCATCGTCCAGTGCTTTCATCAGGGACTCCCATTCGTGTCCCTCCACGTCCATCTTGACAATGTCCAGCCGTCTCTATATAGGGGAAATAATCATGTATTTTTGTAAAGGGAAACAATTCATAAAAAACAATCTTTGCGATTTTATATTTTTACAGGAACCACAGTAACGATGCGACTAGACGCCCGTCTGCCGGTCCTAAGATCTTGAATTCTAACTGGCACTGAGTAGGATCCTTTAAAAATTGGTGGGCCGACCTGGGTCACTGCTGTAGGCCTCGGTCTTACCCTGCTGCACTTATCGGACTTTCGGACCGGACCAAAACCATAGAATGTAAAATGACACGGAATATCATAGGCAGAAATAATTAACTGTCACCCCCTTGTGGGATCTTGCCAGGGGCCGCAATATAGCCCGGTGGCACTTTGTGTCGTGATGATATCCTTACGTCCTTTTTAGGACGTAATTTTTTGTTATTTGAAGCCCCACTCTGGCTTTTTCCGGGGGCCGCAATATAGGCAGGCCATCAATATGGCCAATTGTCTGAACACGGTTTCTGGGACCTCTCCACGGCGATTCCTCATCCGCATGGTGGCACTTTGTGTCATCGGGTGTTTATCGCTTGTGTGATGTCCTGGTGGGGTAAAAAGTCATCAGAAATAATTAGCTGTGTCACCCCCTTGTGGGATGCAATCGGGTGTTTACTCTGGATCTTGTGTGATGCAATATAGCCCGGCCATAAATATGATCTAATGGCTGAACGCTGTTTCTGGGACCTCTCCAAGTCGATTCTCATCCGCATGGTGGCACTTTGTGTCATCGGGTGTTTATCCCTTGTGTGATGTCCTGGTAGGTAGAAGAAGGTAGATAGATCATAGGCAGAAAAGCAACAAACAGGTGACAATGGAAATCACTTGTAAATTCCTTATGTGTCAACAGCGGCATGAAGATGATAGAGGTAGATGAAAAGGTCTGAATACCCCCCCCCCCCCTCTTTTCTCCCCCCTTTACGGGCAGCTATTGTAAGTTTGGCGGCAAATGCAACAAGACAAAGAGATTACTTATTACTTATTACGTTGCATTACTTTCCTCATAATTACAGCACACTTTGGTGCTCGGTGTTTTTTGTTACGGGTTCCCAAATTATTACTTCTTTATAATATTTGCATAGGGGGTATCAGGTATTTACCAGATTTATTCTTCCTTCTAAGGTTATCTGGTTAAATTTCCATGCTTCCTGCATTTCAACTATTCGTCCCCTGTGGGATGCAGTTTTTTTTGTTTTGTTTAGAACCCCACCCTGGCTTCTGCCGGGAGCTATGAATAAAACTGTGGCATAGATATGGCCTAGCCATAGATATGGTCTAACGACTGATAGGGGTTTCTGGGACCTCCCCACGGGTGATCCTCATCCGCATCGTGGCACTTTGTGTCATCGGTGTTTATCGCTTGAGTGATTTCCTGATGGGCACAACTACCCACATACTCCTGCATTTCTAAGCTTGACCGATGAGACATCCTTCTCCCTCCCCCAAACCCGCACCAATGATTATAATAGTATACTTATATCGTCGCCACACTGGAAGTTGGCAGTACTGTCAGTCAGTCAGTCAGTCAGTCAGTCAGTCAGTCAGTCAGTCAGTCAGTCAGTCAGTCAGTCAGTCAGTCAGTCAGTCAGTCAGTCAGTCAGTCAGTCAGTCAGTCAGTCAGTCAGTCAGTCAGTAGCATATTCTTTGCAAAACCTTGCTCGCATAACAACCTTCCGGAAAACTTCTCGATCACAAGCATGATGTTCCACGTCCGAAACACCCATCTGGAGATCATCCGCCACATCCTGGACCCATGTTCTCTTTGGCCTTCCTCTTTCTCTCTTCCCATTATTGTTCTCTCTAAACTTTCGTTAACAGTAACTTAACACTGCTGAATACGGAAATATCCCGTGATGGTACCTGTTCTATCTATGTAGGGGAAAATCAGGAACGGAATAGACACAAATGAGAAAAGGAGTGCAGATGTCTAATGAGATGGCAACAACGTTCCTGAAATCTCATCTCTCAATTGAGGAAGACTTTTTTTTGAACATGAGTAGCCACACACTCGTCATCACAATGGGAGGTAATTCCCACGACTTCCTGTAGATACATTTAAATATATCTTCTGGAAAGACGAAAAAGTACAAAGTTAGATATTCCACAATCTCTTCCGTGGTGCGCCTCTCGTACCAATGCATACAGCTCCCGAATCTGGACATTTTCCAAAACTTCCCACAACAAGAATCGAACCATGGTAGAAGTCGAAGACTGTATTGTGAAACACTTTCATTCACTCTACCTAGCTACAAGAGTCAACTCATTGGGAGCTTTCTTTGAAGTAGGATTCATCTGCCTGAAATGCAAGGAACCAACAGTCTGCATACAAATAAGTCAGATCTATAAAACGGATGCACACGCAACATTCAGGTACTGGAACAAGACTGCAGTCCAGAAGTTGACGAATAACCAGAACTTTTTATCAGAGTTTACAGCTGGTGAACGCTAAGAAAAAGAAGAAGAAGAAGAAGAAGAAGAAGAAGAAGAAGAAGAAGAAGAAGAAGAAGAAGAAGAAGAAGAAGAAGAAGAAGAAGAAGAAGAAGAAGAAGAAGAGAAGAAGAAGAAGAAGAAGAAGAAGAAGAAGAAGAAGAAGAAGAAGAAGAAGAAGAAGAAGAAGAAGAAGAAGAAGAAGAAGAAGAAGAAGAAGAAGAAGAAGAAGAAGAAGAAGAAGAAGAAGAAGAAGAAGAAGAAGAAGAAGAAGAAGAAGAAGAAGAAGAAGAAGACTTACCTCTAAGCCACATAATCATGATCTCTTCTTCTCCTTCGCGTTCACCAGTTGTAAACTCCGGCTGAAAGTTCTGGTTGTTCGTCCCCTTTTGGACTTCGGTCTTGTTCCAGAACTTGAGTTTCCCGTGCGCAACAGTTTTTATTATTTGTAAGCAGACAGAAAATTTCGCGGCTTTCAGGCAGATGTTCTATGACTTGGAAAGAAACACGGCTATAATAATAATAAGAAGAACTCCACAGGGGAGCATGTACAGCAGGGGTCCACCGATCATCAATAGAAAGATCCCTTGTCGACGATTGTTTCGGCCCGTTACTATTCCTATACAGTCTCGGACGGTGGGCCGACTAGGGTCATGACTCTCAAACCTCCCATCTTTCCCTGCTGAACTTTACCGGATGTTCTCGGACAGGGATCAGACGACATGGTGATTTGTAACAGGTGATATGAGAATTATTGATACTGTTGCTGCAGTAGCAAATTAGTCGTCTTTAAAGAAATGTTTGTTGGGGATGAGGGAGAGAAAAGGAGGTGGGGGGGCAGCGTTTTTCTTTTTTCAAACCCACACTTGGGCCCCGGAACCCACACGGGGACTCAGTTATGATGATGCTGACGATAAAAGCGACAAATCGGAGGATACCTGATTAGGAGTGTGTTGGAGCAGCTTCCGGTGTTCTTCTATGGAATACAGCTGCCAGTGATCGTTCTTGGGCGAGATGATGCTCTTGTTGCTGGCCCCAACTCCGTACGGATGGAAGAACACACGCTCCCCGCGGAGATGGGGCCCTAGGTTCATGCTTGACGGCGAAAAAGAGAGAGAGAGAGAAGTAAAGATCAGAAACACCGTCTGGTCCGAGAGAGGTGTGCATAGATTATTAAAATCAATCAAACGATCGATCAGGTAATCAACAAATCAGTCAATACATAGGTCAATAAATCAACTAATCAACGTTCAGTCAATAATTCAACAAATAAATCAGTCAACTATTCAGTTAATCAACCTATCTGTCAATCATTGCGCCATTCAATCGATTAATCCGTCAATTTATCAATCCTTCCCATAGTCAAACAATCAATCTTTCAGTCAGTCAGTCAACCAATCAATCATTTAATTACAGAGGATTTATCTCCTTCTTCAATAATCAATTAATTAGATGCCGCCTCAGCAATGAAGGTAGACCGCAGTGGTTCTACGCCTAGTCTCTCGTCGTAATTGCACACCATTTGTAACTCAAAATTTTACCCAGGCTACTTTCTTTTAAATTTCCAACTGCAAAATGATTTTTTTTTTACGTGCGCAACAATGCACACGTGCGTCCGATCTCACTACCCAGAGACCAGGGGAAATTACTAGAAGTCCACATGAAAAAATCCCAACCCTTACCGGGGATTGAACCCGGAACCTCTAGCACTCGAGACCACGCAGCCCCGCACATAGATAGATGTTGATACCATCAAAAACATATAGCCACACTATGTGGGGGTACAAGGAAACGAGCAAGCTGATAGGCTTGCAGGTAAGGCTACTATGAAACCCGGACAAGCCACGGACCCGGATGATATACTGAATGCTCTAAGAGAGTTGAGACGTCTGCGTGAACCAACCGAGAACTGTGAATCTGCCAACCATGGTCATACTGCCAGAATAGCCTAGTTAAACAGGTGGTCACCAAACAAGAACACTACGAGGGTAGCCAAAGAAGAACAATAAACCAACAAAGAACTGGTGTCGTCAGCCGCTACACGCTGCGGGATTTACTGAGGAGGGGATTCGAACACTTATGGACTGAGTGGCTCGACGCGCAATGAGGATAACCTGTCGAATAACTAACTAACTAACTAACTAACTAACTAACTAACTAACTAACTAACTAACTAACTAACTAACTAACTAACTAACTAACTAACTAACTAACTAACTAACTAACTAACTAACTAACTAACTAACTAACTAACTAACTAACTAACTAACTGACTAAACTAACTAACTGACTAACTGAACTAACTAACTAACTAACTGACTAACTAACTGACTGACTGACTGACTGACTGACTGACTGACTGACTGACTGACTGACTGACTGACTGACTGACTAACTAACTAACAAAATGACAGTATATTCACCTTGGATCAAATGCATGAATCTCACACCCGTACCTGGCCATATCGTCGTCATAGGAGTAATCAAAATTGATTCTGTGGAACACAAAAATATAAGCAATCTGCAGAAGCTACCGGGAACTTTGCCACATTTTGGGGGCAATAGGTTTATACAACAAGTTAGTTGCGTATCCTTTACTGGACATTGCAGCAAATTTTTTTTTTTTTGGCTGTGGTTTTTTTCTAGGCACATTTACGTCCAGTAGTTTGCCATTGCTTCCTGGACGGTCGGTTTTCTTGATACCACTGTCGAAGTCAACACAAGGTGCAAATCTTGCAGCTGGAATCGAACCCGGCATCCCGGCATTACGAAGCGTTCGCATCGACTTAGCCACAAACACCGACTATATGGCCAAGCAAATTAAAAGATAGTGGAATCAAAGAATACGAGTGTACCCGTTTTTTCTTTTTCCTTCAGGATATGAGGCCAGGCTCGCAAGTTCTTTTGCCCCAGAATACGAAACAAAATCTAAGATAGACGGGTTATTTTTTTAAACCAAAGAGGAAGATTTTTAAAAAAAGAAGCTTATTGTAGTAATGATTACAAAACTATTTCCTCCGACTCACTTCCCTAGCCACCACTGCCTGACTTCCAAAGTGTATGTTTATTCGTGCAAATTACGAGTTTATTTATTTAAATTTTGTTTCAGAATTAACATTTATTATGTTAAGCAACAAAGTTAATATGACAAACACAGGTAAAAAAAAAAAATACCGACAATGATTTTTGTAGGACTGAAACGAATTAAAATCACTTACATTAATTTTAATGTGGAAAACTAGGTTCAGCATAGGGATTGTTCAACACACAAGGTCAGTCATAGAGCAGATAATATTATGTCTTGAGGTTCCATTGTACAAGTTAGTTTCGTATCCTTCCCAGAACCAAATTCTAGCATTTCTTGATTGTATTTTTACTAGACAATTTTCATTCATTCATTCATTCATTCATTCATTCATTCATTCATTCATTCATTCATTCATTCATTCATTCATTCATTCATTCATTCATTCATGTAGCAGGTCCTTTGCAGAAGGTCGCTCTCATCACAGTCTGCCTGAAAAGAAACTAGGCTTCTTGCCAGTTCTCCAGCCTCACGAACTTTCACACTCAAGAAGTCACTTATATCATGTGCCGATCTTCGTGTCGGTCGGCCCCTGCCCCTCCTTCCTGGTACCATGCCTTCTGCTATATTTTTTTTCCAAAGTTGTAGTACCGTTGGGCTTAAGGCCGTCATCACAACTAGCCTTACTTGCTCTGCCATCGTTCTCTTCCCCAGTTCGCGTTTGTGATCTGCCTGGCCAGGGGGCCTCACCATCACATCTTTGAGTTTTTGGCTTCCATGATGAGTTTCCTTCCATGATGAGTTTCCTTCCATGATGAGTTTCCTTCCATGACGAGTTTCCTTCCATGATGAGTTTCCTTCCATGATGAGTTTCCTTCCATGATGAGTTTCCTTCCATGATAAGTTTCCTTCCATGATGAGTTTCCTTCCATGATGAGTTTCCTTCCATGATGAGTTTCCTTCCATGATGAGTTTCCTTCCATGATGAGTTTCCTTCCATCATGAGTTTCCTTCCATGATGAGTTTCCTTCCATGATGAGTTTCTTGGGATAGTAATGTAGACAATTTTACGTTCCTGAATTTTCCACTATTTACTGTCCGGTCGGTTCTCAATATCCCTGTCGAAATCAATGTAAGGCGGTCTGCTGTCGAATCGCCTGCAGTTGGAATCGAACGGAGTACCTTGGAATTATTAAGTGCTTTCTCAACGTCTAAGCCACTGAAGGTTATTCAGATGCTAATGATGTTGATGATAATGATAACAATGATGTGGGATGATAATGATGGCTATTAGATGACAATGGTGTTGATAACAATTATGTGGATGATAATGATGGCTATATAGATGAGATGATAAAGGTGTTGATAGCAATGATGTTGATGACACTGACGGTAATGTTGAGTTGATGCTAACGATGTTGATGTTGATGAAAAGGATGCTGATGACTGTGATGATGACGGTAAGATGATGATGATGATGACGACGACGATGATGATACTCACCCGTATGAATAAACCAGACAGTCGCCCTTCAAGGGCCGGTAGAGCGGATCATCACACAACTCCCAGCCCCCGTCAGACAGTTTCCCCATCCGCTCCACCCTGCTACAGGTCACTTGCGGGCTGTTTATGTAGCTGCAAAGATACCATTTCAGCAGCATCGTTATTAAAATCTATACCACTAGAACCATCCCCACCGCCAGCACTAGCAATCGCACCAGCAGCCACACAATAAAAACAGTATCTTCTACATCAGCATTACTGCCATCATCATCGACGTGGTTGCTGTCGTTTTCATCGCCGTTAAAATAACTATCATCAACATCATTACTATAACCTACAACACCAAAAACAGTATCATTAACAACATTAACATTATTACCGTAATCATCATTAACAATATCATCATCACACCTTTCACGATAACACTATCATCAGAACCACTACTATCATTATCACTACTACCATCATATTAATAAAACATCAACACCAATAACAACAAAAGCATTCCCACTATAACCAATAACATCTGCACATGAAAGTTTGCTCTCGTGTTTGGGGTGAATTTTTGGGATAGAACCGAAAGCTTTTTTTTTTAATCACACAAATTTATGTGACATGCACATGTTAAAATCAAAGCTTCCCTCCAACTCGGAGTACATCTGCACTAGAGGCAGAGAACAAAAGCGGCACACAAATAAGCCAGTAAAACGGATATACAAAACTCAGGCCTTGGTACAAAGTCCATATAGATGAACAACCAGAACTTTTCGCAGGAATAAACAACCGGTGAAAGCAAAGAAGAAGAAAATCCAAGTTGCGAGTTTTTAAAAATAAAGGTGAGTATACGTCTGGAGTCGGCCCTGTGGCTAAGTCGATGCGAACGCTTCGTAATGCCAGGGTGCCGGGTTCGATCCCAGCTGCAGGCCATGCGTCTTGCGTTGGTTTCGACAGTGGTATCAAGAAAGCCGACCGTCCAGAAGCAATGGCAAACTACTGGACGAAAATTTGCCTAGAAAAACCACACAACAGCCAGGGGTTGTTGGGGTTGGTTCTGCAACGTCCTGCAAAGGATACGCAACTAACCCCGTAATACGTCTGGAAGAACAGTTGGGCCACTGGGCTCTTTTATGGGACACCGGGCTTCGAATCCTCAGCAAGGTGGTGATTTATTTCTGTCGGGGACAAGCATACGAGAGGCCTTTAAATAAAAACCTTAAAAGATGGGACCTACTTGACATTAGGAGTCGCCGTGGTGTAGCGGCTAAGTGCTCGCCTCAGAATCGGAGGGTCGTGGGTTCGCTCTCTTGTGGGGTTGGACATTAAAAAAAATTGATCTTAGCTCCCAGATTAACCCATCCGTGAGTACTAGGGACAGTCCTGGAAAGTAAAGGCGACCAGCGAGATGCTGACCACATCACCCCTCTTGTGATGCTTGGTCTTTCAAATATAGGTCTAGCCCTATATACCCAATACGCCTGAAAGGCGTGGAAAAGGGTCCTTTACTTTACTGTACTTGACATTAACCGTGCCACTGTCTTGTAACCTCTCAATTTTGTTGTTAAAGATACCAGGCGAGTTAGGCACCTGATACCCCAGTGACGTCATAATTACGTTTAAATATGTCTGGCTCACTTTTGACACGCACAAAAGAAAAGCAGTGTTCTGATATTCTGCACAGTTTGTGGTGACTGCACTTGTTATGCGGCCTAAAATTCTTAGTGGTTTTTACAAGAAAGTAAAAGCAGTGTCATAAGGAGGAGAAATCTGTAGTACATCCTGACGGTAATAAAACTGGAAGAAAAAAGAGGCAGAGGGAGACAGAGAAAGAAAATGATGACAGTCTGACATCCTGGCATGAAAGACTGTCATCTCAGAGCTGATCGAAAACACACGAAACAGACGGCTGTAGATAAAACATGACTACCAACGCCACACGGCATTGAGTACTGTTATGAAGAAGAAGAAGAAGAAGAAAAGAAGAAAGAAGAAGAAGAAGAAGAAGAAGAGAAGAAGAAGAAGAAGAAGAAGAAGAAGAAGAAGAAGAAGAAGAAGCAGCAGCAGCAGCCGCAGCCGCAGCAGCAGCAGAATGAGGAGGAGAAAGACAGTTTACCTCGAAACTTCCATGAGTGAGTGAAACTGAATCCCACTAGGAGCGCTTACTGTGCGATTAACAGCATGCGAATCAAAGTGCAGTGCATCGTTACTCGGATAAGAATTCCCCAGGTATAAATCACAGATACCCTGTTTAGGGCTCCTAAATGTTACAAAGTAACCTGAAGTCCATACAGGATCAGGCTGACTTTTAATCAGTATAAAACACTTATAGGGACTGAAAAAAAAAAGAGGTAAAAATATTCAAATAACCCAAATAATCAGTGCACTGTACCTGTGGTAGAAAGCCTGGATGTCCTTGTGGGACATAGATTCCAGGACATCGGAGGACGGGACTGGGTTTTTTCCTGACACCACCAACTGAGGGACTTGTGTTGACACTGGTTGCCTTAGCAACGCAGGTTGCGTATTCTGGAGTATTTGATGTTCCTCTCTGCTGGCATCCGGCTGTGACCTCTGAACTTGTTGATGTGTACCTTGAACCCTGTTGTTTTTACTGCCGTTTAACGGGGATTTCTGGAATGTTCCATGGTTGTCATGCTCCGTATTCTCGATCAAATTGCTTGGAAGTTGTTTTTGGAACGTTCCGTGGTGGTCATGTTCTCTGCTGTACACAGGCTGTGGGGAAATCAAGAAATTAATTAATGTAACAGTAAATTAAACCTTGTAATTAAGTTCATGAACTGTTAGTTTGCTAACTGTAAATATAATCTCCTCCATGTCATGCCATACTCTCTCTCGCGCTCTCTTTCTTTCAAACACAGTCATGCTTTCTTGGTTTGAAGGTTTGAACAACATATGAAAATCAGGGCACACAGGTAGTAACCCATAAGTGCTCCGTTCTTCTTCCAACTCAAGTCTGAGTCCGAAGAAGCTCAGCACAGTGCACAGGCTCTGTAGCACGGGCGAGAATCCTGAAAATACTTTGGGTAGATTTTGTTTAACTCCAAATTTTGCCCAGGCAGCGCCGTTAGGTACTCTTCTCGATTTCCAACTGCCAAGGGATTTTCCACGTGCGCAACAATGCACACAGTTCGTCCGATCTCACTACCCAGAGACCAGGGGGAATTTCTAGAAGTCCAAGTCCACTTGAAAAATTCCCAGCCCTTAACGAGGATTGAACCCGGAACCCATAGCACTCGAAGCGGACACCATACCTCGAGACCACGCAGCTACCCCAGGCTCTCTAATTCACATGTATCGTCTCCTACGCACTCCCTCACATATTTTCACACAATCTTACACACTCTCTCTCACTCTCTCTCACACACAAATCTGTCACTGTTTTTCTCCGTCTGTCCATCCTTTCGTCCGCCTGTCTATCTGCCCATCTATCTATCCATCTAATTATATAGGGCTAGACACAATTTAACACTCTCTTACACACACACACATTCTGTCACTCTCTATCTCCATCTGTCCATCTATCTATCCATCTCATTACATAGGACTAGACTTATATTTAATAAAGCAATTGGTCACTCGGTGTGTGATGTGTTGAACATCACGCCAGTCGCCTTTACTTCCCAGGACTTTCCCTGGTACCCACACTGGAATAGGTCGACATGGGGGCCAAGGCCGTTTTAGAAAAAAAAATTCGCCTCCGTCTGGACCCGAACTCACCACCGTCAGATCTGCAGGCGAGAGTCTAGTCGCTACACCAGGGCGGTTTCCGCCTGCTACAGCAGCGCTGGGAACAAATGGTGTCTGAAAACATGGTACCAGTGTCCCGTTGTGAACAGGGTACCAGTGTCCAGTTGTGTACAGGGTACCAGTGTCCCGTTGTGTACAGGGTACCAGTGTCCCGTTGTGTACAGGGTACCAGTATCCTGTTGTATACAGGGTACCAGTGTCCCGTTGTGTACAGTGTACCAGTGTCCCGTTGTGTACAGTGTACCAGTGTCTCGTTGTGTACAGGGTACCAGTGTCCCGTTGTGTACAGGGTACTAGTGTCCCGTTGTATCCAGGGTACCAGTGTCCCGTTGTGTACAGAGTACCAGTGTCCTGTTGTGTACAGGGTACCAGTGTCCCGTTGTGTACAGGGTACCAGTGTCCCGTTGTGTACAGGGTACCAGTGTCCCGTTGTGTACTAGTGTCCTGTTGTGTACAGGGTACCAGTGTCCCGTTGTGTACAGGGTACCAGTGTCCCGTTGTGTACAGGGTACCAGTGTCCCGTTGTATCCAGGGTACCAGTGTCCCGTTGTGTACAGTGTACCAGTGTCCTGTTGTGTACAGGGTACCAGTGTCCCGTTGTGTACAGGGTACCAGTGTCCCGTTGTGTACAGGGTACCAGTGACCCGTTGTATCCAGGGTACCAGTGTCCCGTTGTGTACAGGGTACTAGTGTCCCGTTGTATCCAGGGTACCAGTGTCCCGTTGTGTACAGGGTACCAGTGTCCCGTTGTGTACAGGGTACCAGTGTCCCGCTGTGTACAGGGTACCAGTGTCCCGTTGTGTACAGGGTACCAGTGTTCCGTTGTATCCAGGGTACCAGTGTCCCGTTGTATCCAGGGTACCAGTGTCCCGTTGTGTACAGGGTACCAGTGTCCCGTTGCGTACAGGGTACCAGTGTCCCGTTGTATCCAGGGTACCAGTGTCCCGTTGTGTACAGGGTACCAATGTCCCGTTGTGTACAGGGTACCAGTGTCCCGTTGTGTACAGGGTACCAGTGTCCCGTTGTGTACAGGGTACCAGTGTCCCGTTGTATCTAGGGTACCAGTGTCCCGTTGTGTACAGGATACCAGTGTCCCGTTGCGTACAGGGTACCAGTGTCCCGTTGTATCCAGGGTACCAGTGTCCCGTTGTGTACAGGGTACCAGTGTCCCGTTGTGTACAGGGTACCAGTGTCCCGTTGCGTACAGTGTACCAGTGTCCTGTTGTGTACAGAGTACCAGTGTCCCGTTGCGTACAGTGTACCAGTGTCCCGTTGTGTACCTTATTTGTATAAGCCCTCAACCAAATCATGCCCCGACGTTCTA